AAAAAAAAAAAAAAAAAAAAGAAGCTGGTACATCCAGGAACATCCACATGTTCCCTTGCCCCAGCCCCGTGAGTGCCCCAGACCCCTGAGTGCCACAGCCTCTCTCTCTCTTTTTTTTTTTCTTTGAGAAGATACTTGCTAGAGTGCCATGGCCTCAACCTAGCTCATAGCAACCTCAAACTCCTGGGTTCAGGCGATCCTCTTGCCTCTGTCTCCCAAGTAGCTGGGACTACAGGCCCCCACTGCTACATCCAGCTAATTATTTCTATTTTTAGTAGAGACAGTCTTGCTTTTGCTCAAGCTGGTCTAGAACTCCCAGAGCTCAAGCAATCCTCCTGCCTCAGCCTCCCAGAGTGCAAGATTATAGGCGTGAGCCACACTGCCAAGCCTCAGCCACCTTCTATGTGTTTGGTGCAGTCACAGCAACCCTCCCAGGAAGAGGAAGGAGCTAGGGCTGTGGCCCCTGCATCTGAGTTTGCATCAGAATTTAGTTACCACCCCCTCCTTTGTCTTTTCCTGCAATTTCTTACAAGTCAATTCTTACAAGTAGCTTCTTCTCACAAGCCATCCCATAAACATCTCCTCTCCCTGCTGTCCTTGCCCCCCTTGGCCTCGTTTCTTTCAGGGGACTCCTGTAACCTGGCCACCCAGCTTGCACTACCTCACAGGCCTCCACACCCAGCTGGGCATTCAAGCTCCCCTCTCTTAATACTTTAGCAGCCCCCAGGGCTTATTTCTGTTGAAATGGTTTTCTCTCATGTGCCACCTTCACTCCTACTCCTTCATTGCCCTTTGCCACCCCATAGTAAGCTGATCTTCATCTGGACGTGTGTTGCCTTCTCCAGCCCTGCAACTACTCCCCAGGCAGCACTGTCCTCTGTGGAAATGTTTCAAGGACCATCTCAAAAGCTACTTCTCCAGTGAAGCCCTTCCTTGGGTCTCCAAAATGGTCAAATGCTGTCCCAGTGAGTATCCCAACCAAACTGAGGGCTCCAAAGGGGCTGAGATGTAGGGTAACTATTAATAAGTTTTTGTAGACAGATCCTCTGAAGTCTGCCACTTTGGTTGTTAGGAAAATGTTAAGGATAGCAAAGAAGACAAGGGGTTGCAAACTGGTGGCCCATGGTCCACAAGTGGCATGATTTTTTTTTTTTT